CTGAAATTCACCTACCTGCTCACTTTTTAAATGGAGAGTATTCTACTAGTGTTAAATAATAGTGTTAAAGCCAGAGGTATAATGTTCCAATGAGCAGTCCCTGCATCTGCAAGGAAAGCTGGTACAAAATACAGCTGATCTAGCAAAAATGAGYAATGCTTATTCTGTTAAGAGTTGTCAAATGTGGAATGAAAAACTTTGTATTTTTAAACATTAACACAATCTGAGCTTGTAGAAGTGATTAAGAGCATTTTCCATCTGAAAAAAACTGTTGACGGTATTCATAGAATTGAATCACAGAACTACAGAATCTTAGAATCAAATTCCTCTTTATCCAATTGCTACATCAAGGGAACTTAACATAAAGCAGTAAGAGTTAGAACTATAATCAGGATAGATATCTGGTGTCCAGAAAGGCTACAACATAATATAAGCCATAATACAAATCAAGTAAGTYAATAACAAAACCAGGTATCTTTGAACCTTGCAATCAGAATTTCCCCATAGTTGTCAAAAAAAAGGGCAGTTTAAACATCAAACTGTCATCTAAAAAAATTTCATAAAGCATGCCTCCAACACAAGAGGGACAAATATCTTGCAGGTAAATTGCTTCATACTGTTCCAGCTTACATAGAGAATATTAGATATTCCTTACACTATTTATGTAGGACAGACAAGAAAGCAAGATAAAAGAAAACAAATCTCTCAGATTTTTACACTCCAAGAAAGGGCACTTTTYCCCTCCCTTAATTACAGAAAACTACATTCCTCTGGCTCCCTCCAGCTGGAACTATGTTAGGTACATCAGTGGTTTTGTGTATTTCTAATAGGCCCATATCATGTTGGCACTTAACACACTACTCAATCTCATATCTGCACTTAGCTCSAACTTCAGGTAAACAGTTCTTACTCAGCCAATAATAATTTGCTATTTATCTTCATGACAGATTGAAAAATTTTAGGTTTGTTAACCTTCATTCCAACTTCTTGCACATTGATAACTACATTAGTTTTATGAATTTGTGATACGCTTAAGAAAATTCAAAATATTTTCTTAGATGCAGTACCAAAGAGATAAGAAATGTCTAATAAACAAAACACAGACTATGATGYGTAAGATATCTGATGTGTCTCCAAATACTCATGAACAACCTTTCTAGAAATCTCTGATTGCACATGGACGATAGTCAGAKGTAAATTCTAACTATACAACTATCTGAAAAAAATTGCCAAATATAATGAACAACATTAAAACCAAACCTCGGATKACCTAACTTTAGTGCATTAGAGTAAAAATGCAAACAGAACTGAAGTTACTGATTAGTTACCTATTTTGTAATTTCCAGCTACTATAGACTCTGAGAAGTTATCAAACCTCTCTGCTTAGATGTTTTTCCAAATATCCAGGGATGTATTACCAGGAATAAAATATGCAAAAGTATGCAAGACAAAGGGTTTAATTCCATTTTACCTTAGATAACATCACAGCTCAAAACTACAAGTAGATCTAATCAATCCTCTTTATGAAAAGCTATTTCACATGAAAGAAGAAGCAAGATAAAATGTCTAGAAAATGAAAAATGGTCAYGAGAACTGAATTGACTTGAAGAAGCAATTACTGAATTATTTTGGTAGAGGAAAAAACATTTGTTAATTTTGGCTTGTAAACCATAACAACAATATCTACTTGCTTACTGATTGTGATATGAACAACCCTTGTCCTCTTCAATGTAAAATTACCTYATTTAAATTAAATTGCTGCTGATAGTTGGGCCCAATATTTTGTGCATAAATTCATTTGTGTCCTTTACTAAGGCAYATTTTTATGAAGAGCATAATACTGTAGTTCTATTTTCTGTGGGAAGCCTAAAATGAAATACTACTCTTATACAAACCAGAACTGAATAGACTCTCCGAACCTTTGCAGAATGCACTTTCAGAAGGCATTATAAAGCTTCTTTGTATCCCTCCATTCTGCTGTAATTGCCCTTGGACACAATGAATATCTCCTATTCTGCACAGTGGGTCCATATGGGGACATCAATAATACTCCTGGTTGTTCCTGTCTACCTAAGTAAGGAAACTCTCAGACTTYTCTATTGTTGAAGGATGCAGACTGCACACCCCAGAGTCACACTGTTTTCAACACTGTGTGAAAGTGCATTTGCATTTTTTCAGCATTTTCCCCATGTTTTATCTTTAAAAACACTTCAGTCACATKCTCAGTCATATACCCAAAGAGACCATCAACTCTGCAAGTTCTCTCCCAGGTACAGAATGTACTGCTCACTGATGATGGAAATATCATCTTCAATGTTAAACTATTACACAAAATGGAAGAAAACCATTTTAAGATCACATCCTCTCAAATGGCTGCAGAAATCAATAGTTCTCTAACTTACAACCTCTTGGTTTAAAAATAATTTTAAACAAATTCGGTGATCTGTTACAATAATATACAATGAGTTATAAAAAAAGTATAATGACAAATTAGAATTACTAAGAAAAAACAGTAAATATTCTGGAGAAAATGGGCACTGAAAACTTCTCAAATGAATACAGACAATTCATGTATGTACTGAGATCAAGAGGCTATAATTAAAACCCCCAAAGCTTAAATCAACTTCCTCTCAAAAAATACTCACTGGACGTGTGAAAAGTTTGATTAAAAAGAGCCCAAACCCAAGAGAAATTTCAACTTTTTAGGGGGTAACTGAAAAAAATCTTCATTTGCAGAAGTGAAAATTTGGGGTTTTTTTTCTGCCCCATGTTACTCTCTTACTCTAGTTAGTGAGGAAAATCAAAAATGAACAGGCCCAATCCTTTCTCATGTAACTTAACTACACCAAGAAGTGACAGCAGAAAAAATTTAGTTTTGTATTGGTTGCAAAGATCACATTTGTAAAACAAACAAGCTAACCCTTTGTTTGRAAAAAAAGAGACCATTTTGAGCTTTGAGCAGTAGTAATATTAAAAGGCAAGAAATTAAGATTCAAATTTTAAGTTGAAATTCTGYTCAGAAAAATGAAATATTTTCAAGAAAATCTACCATTAAGAAAAAAAAAATGCTGCTCATTAGCATATAAGTCACTTTTGAAAAGCTAATAACCAAAATTTTCATGTGAATAGAAATTATACAGAAAAACAACAAGCAATAAGAAATAGCACAAAATCAGCAAATGACAGATCTTAAAGCAGCTGCTAGTCCTTCTAGAATCTTGACTGCGATTGTTGATCAACTTTAAAGCTAAGGCATGCTATTTTCCCACAGTACATGGGGAGAATTAATATGCATTTGATTCATGTACAGCCTTTGAATTTACAAATTAAAGAGCACATAAATTAATCTTGAATCAGTTAAGAAGCCAAATATTTGACTTAAAACATTTTAAACTTCTGTACAATTTTATAATGATTTCCATGCYGCACATACAGACAAGAAAATGAAAGATTCTGTTGTCTAGCAGTAAAATGTATCAATACTGCAAAGGATAAGCTAGCTGCTAAATATTCACTTTTTTTGAAAAACGTATTTACASAACAACTAATGACAAAAATCAGTGAAATGCAAATTGTTTTAAACTATTCAAGAAAAAAAGCAATTAGATATTATGCTTAGCTTAAACTACTTTCCAAACCTATTTAAAATTCTGTTGCATTTTATATTACTTTACACTATACATTTCAATATTTTTAAACTAAAATGTAATGTATAAATTTCTTCATAACAAAAATATTATTAAATAATTTATAAAATTTTAGTTTTTTATAAAGATATTTAATTTCAAATTCTTTGTCCTAATCTTAATAAAAGATTAAATATAATCTTTTTATATTTTTATAGCAATTTCTCCAGATATTCAGAAAACAAATAATTACAATTATTCTTTGATAACACTGCCATCTAGTGYGAACTCTAAATTAGAATGAAGCATTTCTTTGAACTTGTTTATTCTGTAATTTAGTCTAAGGTAAAACTATGCTGTCTACAGATTTTCTTCAGTACGACTTAACTGCACATTGGAATAATGACATTAGTTCTCTTACCTGGAATGCCTGCTAYAAAAATGCAGCTATACTAATTTTGAAAATATATTGTAAAACACTATTAAATAATACATTCACATCTAGTGTATACTGACATACTTTTCATAGCTAAAAAGAAGAGAATACAAAGCTAGCATGCTACAYGCAAACACAGAAGTTCCTAGAACTTAACATGAATGCAGAAAACAAATTGAAATATTACTTGGCTAAATTTGATATCTAACAAGGAAAGGTGGAAAATATTTTGGTAAACTGAAGTTAAGTATAACTGGAAAGCAGGAAGAAACTGAGAATTTCTAAGGTGGAAATGATATCTAAGAATCAGATTGATAGCAGAAAATCATCTTTATTTATACAGAATTGTTCAATATACACTTGACAAACCCAGAGCTCYAGAGAAAATAGGAGACTGACTTAATTCCACTCAGTTCTACAGTTATGCTGCCATCTAGCGAAACAGGACACTCGCTCTTTTCTGCATGACTTAAATTTTGTCCAAATGAAAAATCACTGGGTGCATGTACCACAGCAAACATTGTTCACCTGTAAATCCCTTATTACCTCTGCTTCTTCTTCACCACTACATTTTTGTAACATGTGTTACATGGTGGTGACTGGTTYTGGTCGTTGGACAGTGAACATTTACACACCTAACGTAAAATGCAAACAGGCTTACAAACTGCAATGAGAAACCAARTAACTGATCAGCAGGGACCACAGTCCAGGATGAGGGAAAAGTTAGCTACTAGCAGATTTCAGATCATTACACAGATAAAGTACTGTATCCCAGATAGTAATACTAGATAAATATTRCTCTGAGTCTTCAAATTAAATTACCTCTTTTGGTTGTTTAGTCATTTCATTTAATTGAATGATGACTTGCAAAAAAACTTTTAAAACTTTGTAAATTCCAGACACTAAAAAGGAAATAAAGAAAGTTAGAACACACTCACCTGGGAAAATATATTTGCAGTTGGAGCAACTCTGTTGTCCACAATACTATATAATATTGCTAACAATCTGTCCAGAGGAAATGGCTTTGGCCCAAGGAGGTGATTGCTGGTCTGCAACAAAAGAATGCTTTTTAATCCAACAGGCTTTTCCTGGAGCGCCACAAGATGTTATTATCACATCTTTTTGGCCTCTGGGGAGGCACTATGACTCACAGTAGTCTTTCATGCAGCCTACTTACACATATGGAAAGCACTGAATACATGCTTATTGATGGARAAAAAGATTCAGACAAAAAGATTTATTTAACATGGCAAGTGTTCAAACTGCACGATAAATAGGAACATTTTTGAGCTATAACAGGGGATCTTATGCCTAATTTCCTGTCACTTGATTTATAAATTAACTTGTCTTATTTAATGACCTTGCCCAATCTACAGAATAAAGAGGAAAAGCTATGTTTTATGGCATTCAAAGAATCACAGATTGGCTTGTGTTGGTAGAGAGCTTAAAGACTTCTTCCAAAGAAGAAGGACAAAACTGAACAGAGTATTCCAGAGGCAGCACTAACAGTGCTGAGTGTAAGACTCAGTGCACAGGCCTCCCACAGGTTTGGCTGCCTAAAATAAAGAGTTCAGATGGCTGAGCCCAAGGTCAGCTTCTTGGCTGGTAAGAGCAGCTGTATAATGAGCTACCAGYCAGCTACAGACAACTGTGTTACAAGAACACAGCATATTTACTCAACTACACATCTACAGAGCTCTTTTGCACCCTCCATACCACACCATCAGCAGAAACTGATGACCACTTTAGGCTTTACAGAWTATTGTACATAGTAACATTGCATTCACTTGAATTCAAATGAATACAAAGTCCTGATTGTTCAATGGTAAGCATTTTCAAAATAACCTATTCTACAAAAAGGAGATGTACAGTTTATAAGGCAGAATTGGGCAGTATTCCAACTCAGGCAGCATAGTTAGGACTACAGAGATTTATGACCCACACTTTAAAAAGTTCTTACAAGGGAAATACTTATTTTATTTTAAGCTTGTATTTAATTCTCTCTGCTCTGACATCCAGTTGCCTTTTTTTGTAGTGTGCATTGATTTATTCTTACTAACAGAGCAACCAAGATTAAACAGGATTTTCACAGGAAAGTTTCTTTCAAAGTGCCTCTGGGAAAGAACAYCTCAAATATACCACCAGCAACTCTGTGGCATTCATCATTAGTAAAACATARCCACTCATTTCTTCAGCAAAACCAAAAGGTATTTACAATACCTGTTTTAACTTTTCAAATCCAGGAGGTGTCCCTAAAGCTACCTCTTCGCTAACAAAGCAAGCAGTATCAAAAATCATGGCAACACATAGTCAAGACCAGCATGCCATCCTCAATCACAATGCAGATGTGGTTCAAGATATCAACTGTACAATCACCTGCCCTTCTGCTTCTAAACATCTAAGTCGTGTGAAGCACATTCTTTACTGTCAACAAACACTTATTAAAATCAGGGCACTCTAAGCAGCTAGCAAATGCAGTTAGCATGGAGTAATCTTTGAAGTATTTAGTATTTGCTTCAAAATTTCTTGCTCTCTCAAAACAGAATATGTTTGCAACGTTCAAATTATCTAAAGAAATGCTTTCCTCTAGAAAAACCAGGAAAGTTAATTCTAAGAGAATCAATTCTTGGAAGAATAACAATGGTTTAAAAATTCCTTCAAACATAACATGGTAAAGAATTACATAGAATTAGAATTTTATGAATCTTCTGCAAAGAGATAAGGGAGAATGCTACCCAGAATAGTACGCATAAAAATGCAAGGGACTTAGCTTCTCTCAAAACCAAAGGTATCTTCCAGAGCCAGAAAATCTGGTCCAAAARTTTTAAAGCCATCAAATTAACTCTGCATGTCCTGTATCACCTTTCCATCTAGGCAATACACTCATCATTCAAGAATAACTTTTCCCAAGTGCCACTATGTGGGCTTGTGCTTTTTATCTGCAGTGTCAGTTTCATGTTCCCTCAATTTACCTGGCCTAACAATCACAAGCTGCACATTCACATTCCAGAATTTCACAAATAAGAATGAGAACCCCAAGTGTACTTTAAAGAGTAAAAGCTTAACACAAATTCAACTATCTGTACAGAAAGGAGAAACTCCTTAAACTCAACTGACTGAATTTTCAACCTTTTCAGCATGTACTTGAAGACAGAACGATACCTCTCCCCTTTCTTGTARTGCAGAAGCACTCCCAAACTTCTCTGACTGCTATACAAATGAAGTATGCTCAGCAGTAAGCTATAAATTCTGACACAAAAAAAATCCTAGACTGAAGTTTAAGCAGATATACAAGATAAACTCATGCTAAATAAAAAACACAGCAACACATTTGATCTTCTGACAGACCGATATGTAAAAAGTTCACTCCTGCAAAAATAGCTTCACCGAGATCTCTCACTTGTCACTAAACTGGAAAAGCACAATTCCAGGACAACCATGCAAAGAAACCCAGCAAATTCTGCTTTTCAAAATCAGCAACAGGGCAATTAATAGAATGATAAAAGTCAATTTCTTCCCCTCATTCACAAGATTCACTTTTAGTAATTTAAGAAACCCCACAGCCYCTGGAATGACACAGTTAGGAATCACAAAACAGATTTTTAGTCTTGCTGTACCTAAACTTTTAAGAAAAGATTTACTTCATGTAATGTAAGCTTCCTGCCATCAGGTATGGACAGCCAAACCAGTTTTCTAAGCTCCCATTATAGCCAGTACAAATCTAATCCATACAATTTGTGGTGCAACTCATCTGCCTGAACGCAGAACGTACTTTAGGATGAGCCAAATCACACCCTGTATTCCAGTGACTGAATCGACTGGGTCTGCATGGGCTATAAAAAGACATTGGGTTAGATGCAGGCATCCACTGGAGTTACATGAATCTGATCTGTACATCAGTCTTTAGATAAGTTTCTCTGAGCAAAGGCATATTGATATAAACTGTCACACCAACTGAAGCAAATGAGTCTGTAACAAACACCACATCTCTAATTCTTTATCCCTGTATTTCAGTTTCCCTCACTATAGAATTCTTCCCATAAAAATTCTTAAAATATAATTTTTTTTGAGAGGAATGCTGATATTTTGCTACTCCATTTATGATGTCCTCTAACTAGCTTTACTAAACACAAAAATATAGCTCTAAGAGACAATTTTATGTTACAGTTTCAATAAAATAAAAATGTCTCTATCACACAGAAATTTGTATCATACAAAACAAGTGCACCAAAAATTGYTATTTCTGCAGTTCTGCTGTTTCTGCAGTAATCAATGACACAAAATGGAATACACACCCACAAGTAAAGTAGAAAGAAAATACTTTCTGCCACGCTCAGCTTAGAAAAATAAAATACCTACCTTCTCATGTTTCTTCATGAAGTTGGTCTTTCTAATTTTCCCATGATGCTGCAAACAACAGATAAGAGCAAAGATAATTAAAATAGTCAACAAAGAATGTATAGAGTACAAATGGTAGTATGTTATTCTAGGTCTACTTTTTATTACATTTCKAGTATTTGCCTTTGATGTTACTACCAATCATTTTTACTATAAGCCCTAAAATTTCACTTGCCTTACTTCTTGCTTTATTTTGTCCCAAGTGGTGCAAAGCCAAAACACAACATGCTAATATTTTTTGATAACATGTGTAAGTTTTCTTTTAATCTCCTCAGGAATTGATGAAGAGGTAGTAAAAACTTGTTTTTAATATGACTTCATGCTACCATCCTTCACTCCACCATATCCTCAACTATCTAATGAAAAAGACAGGTGATGACTATCTTAATTTTTAAAATGTATCCATGTATAAAATCCACCAGAATTTTCATCTTTTTTGACCCTGTTTTAGAATTTGGATGGTACACAAGCTGGCAGAATGACAACCAGGAATTTAATCTATACAATRCAAAGGTAGATCAAGGTTCTTGAGCTAAATGACAAAATGAAAGAGAAGGATGGAGCGGTGGGGGCAGGTATTGAAGAAAGGAACATAATTTAAAAAGTTGCAGCTTTCAAGTGTCTTAAGAAAGGAAGGACTATCGAAAGAAAATAATTAAGTGCACTTGGATCTCAACTGAAAATGTGAGGGCAAGACAAGGGCAGAAATATAGTAAACAATGTTACAAGTGAATGGGTTAAAAAAGAAACAAAAAACACAAAAGAAACAAGGATGAGGTGTGAGTAATGTAAAATGAGTGGAGAGGCGTAATATCCTTTAAACATAGTTAAGTGCTAYTTCTCAAAATATCACCTGATGAGTTTTTCCACAGCACTGAGAAATATACCTTATTAATAAGTAGACCTAATAAACRTGCTCAATAAATCAGAGGAAAAGATAAATAAAGGAATTATGTTTTCATTATAATGTTTGAAATCTTGTACTTATTATTTGTGGCCCTCAATACTCAGCCATGTCAAAATAATCTCAGTAAATGTGGGTATTCTTYACTGACTTCTGAAGAGCTTAATATTAGACAAGACTTAGGTTCACTTCATATGATTTCTCTGATTTAAAAAAAAGTTAATTCGGTTAATACAGATCATACATACTTACAGAAAACAGAGTAATCTTTTTATCATGCCTTTGAAAAAATTACTGCAGTGATACCCCTGACGTTTCAGAGGGGAAAGTGATCAAGCCTGAGGTTACACAGCATGCTTGGGATGGATCACAACAAACTGCATTCACACATTTTAAAGGTTAAACTGGGATCTCCACATGGTACCCTATGGTACCCTATTTCTGTGCAAGCACAGAACCCCTGAAAAACCCCTGAAAAACCCATGAAACTCAGAGCTGGTTTTCAATTAGCATTTAAAGCTGTTTGCTGTTTAAGACTTCATATACACATATTGCTATCCTTTCTTGTTTTAAAGACTACCTTCCAAACCAGCTTCTTATTTTTCTCTCAGTCTAATGCAAAGCTCTTGAATTCACGTAACTAATAACAGTGGAGCCAATTATCACTTCCCTGCTCTGTCGGGCTGTTAGCATTACAAGCTCCCCCAACTGTGCCTTTATTTTTAGCTACACTACAGCCTATCATCTATAGAGTAGCACAGATGAGCAGCTCAATGACCATCTTTTTGTTTGTATCCTTTCTGCTTCTACTAGTTCTTAGTTAAATCACTCCAGAAGATACTTTTCTGTCCTCTATTATGAATCTCATTACAAGTCTGATAAAAATAATATTCTATTTTCACTGTTTACGTAACTCATAAAACTACTCAGCTTGAAACACCACCAAAAGTGTTGATTTTGTTAGGCTTTGAGATGCAGCGCTATTTCTGAAGCTCAACTTTACACCTGATGAAGAGTTAACTGATACCACATGACACATATGAAAAATGGTGACTTTTGGGAAAAATAATGGATAGCACTGATAGAAATAACTTTGTGGTCCCTGCTTCATAAACGTTAGAAATTCATGTTTACTGTACAAAAGTTTAGTAGGGTTCATGTGCAAGAGTGGAAACTCACTCAAAGATACTACAAAAGGAGAAAAGAAAAAAATGAGGTTGAAAAGGCTGTTCAAAGAAGATGGGGCACATTTTGGTAACATGCTCCACAGACTTGACTCTTGCACGCTTTCCCACTTCTGGGTAGAAACACTTCTTCAGCAAATAAATCTCTAACAAAGAAACTGTTTCATCCAAGCGCAAAGAACAACGCTCGCCCATAAAGAGAAGCTGTCTATCTACACTGACTACAAGTAACACTCGCCTCAGGAAAGGACTAAATAGAAAGGTGAAACATCTATAGCTTTCAGTAAGATCATATCAGAATTTAAATTAAAAACATACTAGTACATAATCACTAGCAACTGTAGTAACTTCTCAAAATGTGTATCTATGATTTTTTTTAAGATGGAAGACAAAGACACCACAGCACTTGTCTGCAGTATGACCACAACTTAGCGCCCAAGAAAAAAGAAGAAAATAACCCTCAACTTGTACATGGCAAGAGCTTACAGAAAATGATGTCTAGCCTWGGATTTGTTAGTAAGGATTAATATATTCATCCTAAAATATATTACCATCATTTCAACACACCACAGGGCAGTGTAACTACTTCTTCCTCAAAAGCAACTACTTGTTTCTGTTTCAGCATCCTGGAACTGTATAAATAACCTAACAATGCACTAAGTCATTTTACCTCACTAAAGGCCAAAGCAGCTGTATCTTATATSGGAAATTTAAGTGTATCTTATAAAAATTTAAATGTGTCTTATAACTAGGGACACTGGAGTCACTCCAGTAAAATCTTTTCCAAAGAAAAGCTGTATCAACTTAGAAAAGCAAAGCACAATGCTCGTGCTGTAACAGTGTTATGCATAATTTGACATGAAGAGGAAGTTGGGTTTATTAGACATTTATAATCACTAAGTGATCATTACCAATCACAGTATGCAATCTACAGAAAAGCTTCTCATCAAATCAAATGAAGCACACACAGAAACAGAGCTCAAAATGAACAGTTGAAGAGCTTTAAACTAGGAAATTCAGAATGCAGGAAATCCAGTAAACTGCACTAAGAAATGWATCTTCTTACCTTAAGAAAGAATCTCTTATCTGTCCTAACAGGATTGTAGGAGGCAAGGTAAGCAGCTATTAGAAGAAACTTGGAGTAATATGGAAGTTCCACATGGGAATGTGCAGAAAGTCCTATAAAATAAACAAATAGTTAAGAGTTACCAAATCCCAGCCTGAACTAACTTCAAATTAGACTTCCCTGCATTCTTTTTCTTTTCTTTTTCTCCTTTTCTACTGCCATAATTAAATCGTCATGGCTACTTTCTGAGCCTGATTATCACAGATACAAACTCAGAGAAGGGCCCAGGAGCATGGCGCAAAGCTAAATAAAACAACATTTTGAAACCTTTCTGGACTCATCTCAGCAACTGTACTTTAAGCATCTGATTCACAGATCTTCCTGAAAAAAAAAAATTCCAGGCTACTTTATTTTAAGGTCATTTTTCTGGCAAACATGGCAGACGAAGAGATATTTAAACACAATGGATATTTTTTTCCAAGACTCAACCTTTAGACTGTTCTAGACTAATAAAGAGCTTGTCCAGGAACAAGGCTGGCATGGGAAAGAAAGCTGTGCTGCGCATCCAAAAAATAGCTCATCTAACAAATTTTAGCCACTGTTCTATTTCCTACAGAAAATGTTATAAAAATTTTAAGYTTGATCCACTTGACTTTGCCTCTTTGTATACTTAAGATTAAACACACACRTTAAAATCCACAATAACTACAGTCTAGTGAATATTTGCTTTCCCTCCTTTTTGCTTWTATTTTGTATTTTTTACCTTTATAGTCTCCTGCTCTTGTTCTATCCAGCTCATGCATAAAAATAGGATCATCACCTTAGTTCAGCTGTCTAACTACAAAATCCATTAAAGGATCTCTCTCTTGCCCTTTTTGCTCAGTTTTTTACTTCAAGTTTCTTGCTCTGTGACACACCTGTACCCTTTTACTTTATTTCACAAATAACAGCAAATAAAGATCAAGGAATTAAACATACTTAAAAGTTATGATTCAGGGTCCACAGTACAGGAAGATGAATCCTAAATGACAGCTACTAATTATTTCCTCTAATATTTTCCATATAAGCATAAAAGAACAGCAGTTTTAGTTTCATTTACAATTAAGAGATTCTCTTGTATTGCAGGCTAATTATAAAATGCAACACCAAATAAACTCTTACAGATAAAAAATTTCATTTGATACAAAACCATCTGTTTTTCTTCTGGTCAGCCACTATTGCATCACCCAGTGAACAATGTGATGATCCACACCTTTATTAGWGTTAGAATTTTATTATTAAAATTTCTTTTTGAGCATGTTGCTAGCAAATGCTGTTTAGCAATATGACATTTATTCCTACTACATGTACCTATGAACATGCATTTTAAATGAAGAGCCTCTTCTTGGGGTTGTCAGGTGCAAAATATTTCATGATTATCCAGGATGGAGTTTAATAAGAACACTTTGAATCAAACTACTTTGGTCAAAAATGTTGAAAATTCACTGATCATAAACCAAATATAGGAAATAGTCTGATGATTGCATTCCTCTAAAAAAATCATTTGTCATGATAAATAATACAAAAAAGTGTTCCCAAACTACAAACTGGGCAAAAGACATCACTGACATCACCAGGAAAATATTTTAGTATTCCCTCCTAAATTGTAATTGAAGGCTGACAAATATTGAGAGATGACTTTCCARCCTGTCTAAAGTATAAAGTCAAGAAAGGTCTACTTGTCCAAGGAAAGAACAGAGAGAATACTTGTAGTCCTGACATTTCTCTTCGCCAAGAAATCTGGACACAGGACAGGTGCTTTGTTTAGGAACGTGCTAATCCAGTGCAATATACCAGGTAGAACATTCTCTTCTCCCCACTAGGACAATTCTGCCGGTTGGCACACAGAGGTTTAACCATCAGGGGTCAGGTCACTCCTCACCCATTCTTACATAAGAAATACGGATGTAAAGAAGACTGCTTTTACCTGCAAAGGATCTTAGGAAAGATTTCTCCCAGTATATACGATAGTGGAAAAATAGTCTTTTGTAGAATACCAAGTCAAAAAACCATGATTACCCTGAACTGTAACTGAATAGTAACAGGTAGCCTTGTCTATATAGTTTCATTCATGTGTTCTCAGATGACARTGACCAAGTCAAAAAGAAAAGCACACTTCATGTTACAAGCCCCTACACAGTTACTGTGTTTGATACCTTTCAATTGCCCAGGCTCTCCACCATCATGCTGCAAACGCTCCCACTGTGAGCTGAAAGACAGATAATGCAAATACATAATGATTAAGTATTTGTTAGTCTTTTAGAGAAAACTACCTGCTTGGTATATACATATATTTTAATTTTGTGACACTGGCTAGGACAGAGTTGGTGACAGAGTAATTAAAAATACAAGGTCTTACTACCTTACACGTTTTAATAATCTGCAGATTATGTATTTGAGAAAAACATAGCATAAAATTATGTTAGATTAAGGTATAAAAGACCTAGTTGTAAAATACCCATTTCTTCCCACCCAACCACCACCAACAAGCAAATATTCACAGCATTCCAAGTTTCAAGAATAATGCAGAATTGGATAAAAAGTAWAAACACTGAAAAGAATCAAAACTATCTGCTTAATAACTGTTTATGTTTGTGAGAACAATACTATAATTACTTCATAATGTAATTTTGAAGTCAATGGAAGTCATCAAGATGGATTATTCTGTCAGTGAAAAAAGGCCCCAAGTAAACAATAGCAAAAAAATTCACTTTCAAATTACCCTTAAGGAATGACAGCGCTAGAAATTTTGTATTWTGTATCATTTTGCATACCACAAGGGGTTTAAAAAATGATAGGTTTGTTAAAGCAACTGTTTGGTCTTTTTTTTTCAAGTTCTTAATGAACAGGGTTTATCAGCCATAAGCCATAAAAGTTATGAAAACAGTGTAATGAGAACTCATGTAATACTTAAATTACAATAAACAACGACAAATCAATTCATCAATAAGTTAAGGTTTTATCCAATGTCCAGGCAGAAAAAGAAGGTTCATTTTCCTTTCATTTCAGGCAGCACAACAGCTGATAGCAAAGTTCTATTGCTCTAAATTACACGGTCAAGAAAAACTCAGAGTAGTAAGTCCTGTGGCCAGAAAAACTGAYAGTGATTTTAATTCCTCAAGAATTTAATGGTACACAGAAGTAAATCCTAGAATTGTTAGACAGCTGAATTTTCTAATAAAAATCATGTCAAGTCCAAATTTATAAGCAAAGAAAACAGTAGAGGGAAATTGTTTATTTGGAAATAATTTACAAGCTATTTTGTATCATAATCTTTTATTACAACCTAATTAGACAATTACATAATGTAAAAAGTCAGGAAGATCCAGAGCAGACTTGCAATGAAGATCAATATTGAATATAATAAATACTTGAGCCAAACAGTAAAATGCTGCATTGTGCAGTGAAGTCTAGCTTGTACAAAGTAAAATCAATTTTTTTTTTTAGGAATGATCACATTTCTAAAACATTACCSAAGATTTCTACTGCACATTCAGGTCGTGACTAGAATACAGCCTCAATGACATGCAAAGGAAAGAAATCAGTGTTTCTTATCAAGATAAAGAAATGAAACGATACTGAATGATCTCTCTTTACATGGTGTAACATCAGAACCACTTATCTTAAAGGTGGARAGAACATTAAACGTAAGTCAATTATTATCACTGTGAAATAACAACACCATCCCTTTTTCTGTAAGTCTGTCAGCTTACAAAATAAACAAGGAATCTAAAATAATACCAATAGAAATAGTCACAAGCAGGACACCAGATTTTAATGCTGTCAAAAGTAGCAGTTACATGTAAGAAAACATCTGTCSTTGGAAAAGAAAATAAGGAGTCAGAAGCACAGTCAGCAAAGAAAGTTAACTCTATCAAACAAAGCTAAGAAACACAGGTATTCAAAATCTGTAATGTCTTAGGAATTTTGAGGCTTGCATGCATCCTTGGTAGAGTGAGGATCTGCTGAGCTACCAGCCAGCAAAGTGTGTTTTAAACTGTGTCTATATATTCTAGTGATGGATTCTCTTGCTTGGTAGTTTTATACRTTACAAAAAATGGATCTAGCATCAGTGAAAAGCAGAACAAAACCTGCTGCCACTGCTTTACAGATTGAATCTGTTATATGCTACAAATGCCGTTTGGTTTCAATTTCCTCCTGAGATATGCTATTTCTAACAGTATGACAAGAAAGAAATGCACATTAAAGAAAAAAAATTACATCTAGCAAAAAACAAACACTAGCCATGAAACACAATTGAGAAACACAACGAGAGGAAGTTTGTCATAAACAGAAACCCCAACAAAGCAACAAGCCCATGCCCTCCAAATTACCTGGATATCTCCCGGAGATAAACAGTCTGCATTGCCTTCTTCAAATGAGGTTCAATATTCTTCCAGAGTTTGCGGGTGTCGCGTTCATTTGCTGCACCAAGYGGGAATAAACTCTGTTAAACATTTAACTTGTACAAAAAAAACTCATCCCTGACACTTGAACAGTCACAGGCATGGCACAGTCAAACACCCTGACTCTGATATGCTGTTTTAGGATGATGTAGCATTGCCACATATCCAGAAAGCACACACCCACCATGCAAGGCTGTTTCTCTGTGATTATTCTGAGATAATCTGCATCAGTTTAGCAGAACCTCTCCTCTTGTTTTCTCCCCCTTTTCTTGGCCTTGACAGAGAAATAACTTATGCCATTACTTTGTAGATATCCTGATGGTTGACTGAGGAGAAAAATTCATAGGAGGGAGGAAAATTTTCAGGGTATTTCCACCTTTCCTAAAAAACCACCACCAAATACCACCTACTGCTTCTGCTGCCAGTGCTAATGACTGGATATGACTGGAATAAGCAATKCTGTTGTGACCTGAGAAACCACTGCATTACCACACCACACGGATCAAAGTCTTCACCAAAACCCACTGAACAGCACCTGCTCTCTCAATAGACACACTCAAATTTAAAAACACAGCCTTACCTTCCCCTCTAACCACTGGTTCACAGTATTTAGAAAAATTGAGCGCTGCCTACAGAAAGGAAAAAATAGAACATATTTAAGTACTATCCATCTGATCCAGCTACAGAGTATAACTAGCAGGGTAATTAATTCCTTTGCAAAACCAACAAATTATTTTTCAGTCAATAATTGTACGACTTGCTTACAAACATTATGCTGTAAAACACAGCATCATTTCTGYACCATGAACTACAAACACGAGTAATCTATCACAGGTTATATGGCTTTGAGCTCAGCAAGATCTGTTTACTGTACCCAGGGGGCTGTGGGGTTTTTTTAAGTTAACAGAACAATTTAACATTATAAATGCAATAAAAATGTTTTTATGAATTTTTTTTACTCCCTTCAATTTCAGATAAAACTTTTCTTTCCAGAGAAGTTCAGCACACTCACACACAAGCAGAAAGTATTTATTTTTAAAAAATCAAACAACCAATCACAAAAAACCCTGCTAACACACTCCATATTCAAACAAACTCCTTTTGCCTAAGATAAGAGATTTTTGACACTACCATAATCTAAACTTCTTTCTAAAATGTTTCAATCACTATCACACACAATTTTGTAAAATAATCCTCAGATTTCATTCTCTTTTTGTCCTATTGCACTTTAATAAATCTCCGTGCTAATAAACAAAACTCAATGCAGTAACTTCCATGCAGTAATCTAATAAAATTCCAAGATGTATTATGAATAATCACACATAATAGCATACACATTTTCAGTCTGTATTAGACACTAAGGAGTTCAGAAACCTACATTCAGTTCTATGTGTCTGTCACTATCCTCTACTGAAGAGACTTGTCAACCACATGAAGAATTTAGGATCCAATCACATAAGTATTTCACACACAAGCAGTGAGTTTAAAGCTAATGAAATTCTCATAAGCAGAACCACTCAAGTACAAGTCTGCAAGAACTGCGACCCTGGTTTCTATTTCTGTCTCCAGCAATCTCATTTAAATATAAAACCTGCATGGTTAACAGATAAGGTCAGTTGAAATTTAGCAACATGTTCCTGAGGGAAATGCAGGCAGAATATTTGKATCATCTCTCTAGCACCGATTTGTTCACTGATCACATTAAAATTGTAAAATTTTCTTGTATGTAGTATAGCTATTTAAATAATAATCAGATAAGCTCATGTTTGTTATTGTTATTAAGCTTGTCTTATGCAAAGTATTGTTATTAAGCTTGTCTTATGCATCAAGTAACCTAATTTTCTTCTGTTAAGTTTGTTTAAATTCTTCAAATTATATATGGTCAAAACTTCTTTTTCCAAATATTTTCAGTGTGTTACCAGAAATCTACACAACACTGGAAGCCCCTTACAGTTACTGAAATAACTACAACCTTTGCTACGATTTTCAGGGCAACTGTATTTTAAGCCAACATATTCTTAAGAGGAAAATTTTATACTAGATGTAAGGAAGACTTTCTTTCCTATGAAGGCAGTGAGACATTGAAACAGGCTGCCAGAAAAACTGTGGATGCCCCATTCCCGTAAGTGCTGAAGGCCAGATTGGACAGGGCTTTGAGCTTTGGTCTAGTGTACGGTGTCTCTGCCCATGACAGGGGAGCTGGAACAAGATGATCTTTAAGGTCCCTTCCAACCCAACCATTCTGTATTCTCTGATTCTCTTTTTCAACAATATTCTCTCAAYATTCAACAATAAATCTAGACTTTCAGAGCTCATTTGGCAAAAGATATCCCAAAACAAAACCACAACTCTAGAGAAGCTCAACTCACCAGATGCCGAAGTTCTTTCAGGTCCCTACAGACCATGTAGAAGACACCAAGCAAAATATTGATATATGCAGAATAGAAATCTGCAGAATATTCTGGGGGATGATTCTGAGACAAGATCTTYTGCAGATGTCCTGTTTAAACAAAAATGTATTTTGCACATTTAAAGCCAACTTAATAAACAAACCACCTTTGTGGAAAAGCAAACAATAATTATCACYAAATAAACCCTCCAAAAATACACCAAAACATACACTGATTCAAAGAACCACCAAAAGTAGTGGAATCAAACATTACTTTGAGATGTTCTGGCAAGTGGAAAAAGACAACACCTGTAGAGGTTGTGTGAATATAGACTTCTACATTCCAGTAGTTGTTACATACGCTGGGTTCTTTAAAATGCACACTGATAAACATGAAAAAAACTTTTGAATACCCTTTGACAAAGTTTTACACAACCCCTGAGAAGCAGATTAAAAATTAGCTTACCTATGCTGTAATCAGGAAAATACATGGTGAATGGCTCAAAGCATCCAACATTCGGACGGAAGAGTTCCCACACTATTTCACTGAGCAGGACAACTGTCACATTTCTGTCAGTCTACACAAGGAAGAGAAAAATCTGAATRAGAGAGCAACAGGCAGAGAAATAACAAAATAACAGTGCATGTTAGAGCATCAACAAGAAAAATTATTATTGTGATTYTTCTGTTTCACAAAAATCATTGAATTTACAGTTTATTACTATGCTAGTAATTTGTATTAAAGCTTCAGCTGGCCTAATCAAGYAGCTCATACATTTTCAAATCTTCATAATTATACGATATTTCTCTCCAATCCTTGCCATTTCACTGACATGTAAGCTTTGTGGGGTGATACACAATGCCAAGTAGATTCCACCCCAAAATAAAGAGAACATTTTACTTTAGTAATTAAACACAGACTTTCAGAGAAAACAGAAAAAGTTAAAAAGCAAAAAGAAATCTCAGCACTTCTGGAACTAAGCTATCTCGTACTTTATTTTAAAGGCAATCTGGTCTTGAAAAACAAACACAAATATCTTAAACCAAAAATGTAATATTACCTGTTTACTCTCCCAACTCTTCTACTAGTTAGCAACAATGGGGGTTCTCATACAACATATTCTTTTCAAACAAGATTGTATTGGCTTGCCTCAAGTTGGATGTTTTGGTCAATAGGGAACAAAACCCTTCATATTAAAAGCAATATTCCTTATTTTGGTCACCCTTCAAAGTATCAGCTACTTAATATGAAGCTAAACTATCTGTGAGGATGCCATGCCATTCCCCATCATTGCAAGGTTTTAGCAACCATACTAAAAATTCTGCATAACAAAAGATGCCTTTAAAYATGGTTTTTCAACAAAGACAGTTGAAAACTATTGAGGCACCTCCATAAAGCAAAAGGAAGGAAACTGAATTGACAGGGCTGTGAATATGAGCTGTGAATGACTTGAAAGAGGTTTAAATGCTATTCCTTTTCCTGAAATTTAGTGCGAATCTTCTTTTTTTACTTACTTTTCCCATTTCTTGGTGTAGTGGCACCCACCCATACTCTTTACTGCTTCTTCTTCATTTTTAAGAATCATAGGTATTTTTTTCCCTTTCAACAAGGGAGAATCTCTCTGTAGATTCTTCAGTTGTTTTCCTCTCCCAGATCTCCTAATGTTTCAGCTAGGTACTTAGTACAGAAGTACGAAGTATGTTCAATTCAGTTCTTCATTGATCATCCAATATGAAGAACTTCAATACTTCCCACCACAATCCTCAGAAAAATCAAGCATCCAATGACATTCTTCAGCAGCAACCCTCCAGTCCCATGAAATCCTTCATTAGTAGTRGAGTTTCTGGTCTCCCTTCACTCCAAGAAAGGAAGTGATGCAGTAGATTTGCACCCACAATATTGCTCTGCAACATCAGCCGCACAACTCTTTTAGAAAGCCCCACTCCAGAGTCCAGAATGTAAGCAACTGGAATATCAGCATTCAAAAAGTGTGACAAACTTATTTGGAGGTTACTTTTGAATTTGTGTGTTCCTCATACTTAAGTGTTAGTTTATGGGGTTTTGATCCCTGAACAATTATAGACCCAAGTTTGCATCCTCTATCCGCAGAATTGGTTGTTTCTGCTTCAGGAGCAGCATAGTCCAAAACATGGGCAGAACAGACAAAAAGAGACAGAATATGCACCAGCTGTCAAGATTAAGAACACAGCTGTGAATCAGTCTTCATTCAGTAGAGAAATCAATGTGACCAGAAGATTAAGAGCACCACACAAAAGCTTTGAGATAACAAGTATAATTTCAGCTATTTACATTTTACATGTTCACACACTTCAAAGTACCAGCAACTTCTGTCTTTGTCTTCACTTTTTTTTGAGGAAATGTACACTTTTTCCTTATTTCAAGGCAAACATTTTGATGCTTCAGAAATGAGAAAGGAAAGCACACAGTGATTTACTCCAATCAGAAACTTACTGCAGCACAATTSCGGAAGTGTGAGAAAACTCTGCAAGTCAAAGCCCATTCACAGCTGCTGAGCTGTAGAGCTCCAGCCAAATTAAATAGCTGGCAATGTCCTGAAAATCCCATTCTTAAAAGTACAAATAATCTAGAAAACACAGCTAGATATCTGACACAAGCCTCCAAAGAATCCATAACACATCACATATTGTAAATAAGATACTGTTCACCACAATTTTAAAAAAATTAGAGAGTCTAATAAAAGTCTCCCCATGTTTAAATTCTAGTTTGGCTTCTAGTTTTGACCATTGTTTTGAGGTAATGAGGGTTAATTTTGCAAATTTTCTCATCTAAAGAATCACTTATCTTAATCTGTGAGTCTAGATGYACAGACACCACATGTTAAGTTACTTTCAATATGCAGGACACATATGTTAATTTCTTTCCAGACACTTACCAACTCTTGAAGCCTAAGAAATGCTGGCAGGATGTTTGCTTCCATTTCYCTCAGCTGTTCTGCTCTATCCAGTACCTTTTAACAAAATAATATTATATAGACAATGTGGGCTTCCAATCTTATATGGACTTAAAATTAATTCTTAGCTGTTGGAAACTGAATTGGAGAGAGAATTGTTTCAAATGTGCTTCCAGGAAGCCCAAGCAGCTCTGCATCTAAAAAAAMCACACAATCCCTAGACAAGCAACATTCTCATGCCTTATGGCAGTTCAGAATTATTATTCAAGTCCAGTCAGGAATATCACGACAAAGTCATGACATCCTTTACAACCAATGAAMGCTCCATTTTTTTCGCAAAATTATTCTTATTTCTCAAAATTACATGTAGTACAGTAGCACTGTAACTACATGCTTACTCGAAGAGAGCTATCTTTTCCCAATATGAAATTATTTTTCAGAAACAAATAAGAGCTGATATTTAAAAAATAATACTTATCATCTAGAATTCACTGATCTGAACTTTGAGAGAAACTTTTCTTGCCATAGTTTGCAGCCTAGAAATTTACAGGATTTATCGTATGCAAACCTCAAAGAGCAATAATAGATACGTAGCAGATGTACAGCTTAAACAAGAAACATCTTAAGCAAATAACATTTTGGAGTCTGGAGAATAAAAACAGAAATATGAAGACAAGCATGGTTATCCTTTGGTAAAAAAGTGTGCATTCCCAGCACACCTAAAATCTTGACAAGAATGAAAAAAGAGAATAGAAACACATTTCCTTCGTGGCTTATTTACTACTTGCAATATAAATCTAAAATTTCTAAAGTTCATTGAATTATTGCTGTTGAGATAAAAAACTACAGCTCCTTAGAAAATAGTATTTTCTATCCTATTACATAGCTTCTCTTGACCAAAATCTTATATTTATCATTTCATATATCACAGTAAGGAAAACAATTTTATGTCAACAAACAAATATTTTCTGAAAAAATTACTTCGAAATCCCTCTGTACAAACCTGAAAGAACTATCCCTGCATCAGGGAATTTATTTAAGACTACAACATACGACTGGGAATTTATTTAAGACTACAACATATGATTTTATATTGGTATCTACACTTGGTTCAGGTAATAAATGACTTCAGGAATGAAGATAGATTTACACTGCAGACCAGATAGAGGCTACATATTTTTACTAATGAAATACTGCTTATTGGATCCAGTGATATGCAGTGACAAACATAAAGCTTTAAGGTCTTGACCTAAACAGAAAGCACTTTTAGATAAATAGGAAACAAAACTACAGCTTGTACAAAAAAAACAAACCACAGTGACCCTGGCTTGTGGAAGATATCAAATGGTTCACAGAAACAGTCTTCCACCAGGTCAATAAATCTATTCCTTATTCTTTAGTGTCTATATAGTCTTGACACTGTTCAATTTTTTAAAAAACCTATACTTTCTAAAACTGGCTGCTCGCTCACATTAAAAAAAGTAGCTTGATACTACTGCAAAGTGCTAGATTTTGTAAATGTATGAATGGCTACAAGTTATATCTGCTCCAATTTATCAGGTAGTTAAAACAAATAAATTCATTTTTCATAAGTAATCACAAACATCCAGCACCTATGCTTGGGTTAAGAGAACCACTTAGAATCCTTTGCTTGAAAGTAAACGTTTATCTTAATTCACTGAGAGTTAATTGAGCTGAAATATTACATGATTTACTACTGAAATAGAATAGAGTAAGTCAGCATTGCCAGCTTATGTCACCAGCATGCTGGTCCATCCATCAGTCTCAATTTAAACTGCTCTACAATTGATCAGACATTGGTACATAAACATCAATTGATTTCTCCCATTCCTGTCTGTTCCAATGCAGAATGTAACTGAAATACTAATTTAATACTTAATTCTCCTGATGCAACGACCATCTTCATGACACAATTGAACTTCTGTAGTTATGTAATGCTTTATTTTCTACAACCATTGTTCAAAAATTTTCTAATTTTCTGAGCAATGCCTACTTTCATAGAATACATGAAAAATTCTTTACCGATGTAGAATTGTTTTTAATCCAAACATTCATCTGAAAGTAAAACTTTACTGTAAGAAGTATTTTGCAGAATTCACTGAAGGTTGTTAGAGAGATAAATTTTGTCCTTATGGAACTGCTGAAGAATGTCAATAYCACTTTTGTAACAGTAAGCTAAACTACTTGTCTATTCATAGCTTTTTATCTATTTTAAGTGTTGGTACATTATCTTTTTCACTCTACTTTTAAGAAGTTTGTCTAATTTATTAACCTTGTGACCTATAGGAAACTATGAGATAGCAATTTTTCCACTAAATATGATATGAAGCCATTTAACTCAGCAGCTAAGTACTTTTAAAAGGAAATAAAACTTATTTAAGTATAACACGTGAAATAGAATGAAGAATGCTCAGCGTAATTATGAACTTCTTGTTTGACTGCAAAAAACCCCAAAGCAGCATGGGCACACTGAGTGCTTAATGACTCTGGGTAATCACTCTGCATGTTTCTCACAGCAATCAATCTTAACCATGTTCTTGTTTTCTTAAATAATCAATTTCAACTCTTTAAAAAACCCTTAATTCCTACTGCCAGCCTGAAATTTCAGTCTGTATGTTTTGTAGGTCCACTATATATATACATATATATATTCACACATCTAATACTACAGTCTTTATATTGTCCTTTCATTAGACCTCTTGTATGACTGAAATTCGTTTACATGTTCATCTCTCACCATGATAAATGCTGTTACAGATGTCTGCAAATTTTGACTCCTTTATGTAGTTGAGATTATCACAGGCAAAAAAACTAAAGACCTAAAATTTAGTGTTGCAGTACTACACTGATTCAATCACGCCTGCAACCTAAATTCTGATTATTTTTCCTGCAAGTTTATTCCACTTGAGCACATTGTCAATTTTTTCATCACAGTCTTTTTTTTCCATCTTAATTTTAAAACTACAGCTCCTGTCTCTGAGGGCCACAAGTGTAGCTTAACACATAAGATCTCAAAGGCAATTCTACAAAGGAAGTTATACATTTTAGTTCCTTATCATTATCCTTAAACTCTATTCTAGCCAACCAAGCCTTGTCATTTGCATAATCCATATTCCCTTCTGCCCTACTCCCCACCTATGCTTTCTCATTTGTGAGGTTATTTTCACAAGGAAACAGATAAGCATGACTTACTAATAATAAAACAAATACAGGCTCTCTATATTTGAAGACTTTGTAACACTATTACATTCCCAATTTAAATGTGTGGTATAATTTATGTTCATAATTAGTTATGCTATACAGCTTTTGTGTAGGAAAAAATTCTAAAACCAGGAAGCCTAAAGCCTGAAAGCGAACAGAAATAATCTGCCAACAGGTTCTGCATGGGATCTACACAGAAATTTTGTGCAAACTGCTCTATAAGGGACATATTTCACATACAAATTACTGATAGCAATTATTTACACCCTCTTAGAAGGAATGGCACTGGACATTAAAATGAAATTACTTACAATGTATAATGTTTGATCTTGAAGCTCTTGACTCGCCACAGCTTGTTTAAACAGACGAACAAAGTCATTGAAAGTATCACAGTGCACAGGAGTGGCCTGCTCTGTGTCAGAAGAATAGCTTTGCAACTGGATGAGAATTTCTTCTAAAAGAAGTCGTGATGTAAAGCATTCCACACAGTTCACAAAAACATGAGGAAGCTGAAGAGAACAAGAAAAATGATACAACTGTAYTTTGCTTTTTCAGTGTAAATACTCTAGAAATAGTTTTCCATATGAGAGAATGAAAGAAACTATACCATGCCAACAGAATATAGAGCAAAACCAAAAAAAAATTGTTAAGAAAAAAGAATCAGCTATGTACCTAGCCAAAATATTATGTATCACAAAATGAAGAGAGAGCTGATGAATCTTCAAACAGAACAGTATACCTTCTAGTTACATTTAAAAACTGAAACACACCATATCTTTTAACTATGTTGAAAAATTGTGAGCAATGCATAAGAAGAAAACCAAACAGCATTTAGTTCAAAGAAGTTTACTCAATTCTAAGACATTACAGTATCACAAAATGGTTCATTACAAATTCGCGTCTAGGAAACACAAGACATTTCAAACTCAGATTACAAAGACAGTAATCTAGAAGCACACTCCCCAGAATTACTCTTAATGTTTTTGGCATTCAATGCACACAAATAATAAAGTGTAAGCATTGAGATCAGACTCATGTGATCAGCATGATTGTGCAGAACATTTCAGAAAACCAGATCTTTTCAGAGCAAAGAATGAGTGAAAAAAACAGAGTTCGAGATACATTATAAGTATCAATTCTGTAATACTGAAAACCTACAGTCATTTGTCTTTAAATAGAAGACTCTATAATGTACAAAATAGCATCAATAGTCTAGCCTACCTAAGGCAAAAAAAGATAATTTTCTAGCAACCCTATTTTTAAGACACAGCTTATCTGTACAACTCCATCTCTGGTAAGGCAGATGCTCTTTTTCACACTTAACATTAAAACCTCTGGAAAACATTAGTCACTGAGATGCAGGAATGTGTTTGCCTATAACAAAAAAAAATGCCAGTACTTCATTCCAGTCTTTCTACTTAAAATACAATATATGGCATATGATTCAGCAGATGTGGGGAAGTGTGAGTACATGCTGGCAATTCACTCACGCAGCATGTAAAGATTATATGATTTTGAAAGCCATTAAAAGGAAAGGGCTACATCACCATAAGCAGCTATTCAAGTGCTGCATCTCCATGGCAGAAGGAAAGCTGGGTGCCTCAGATGTGACTCACACTACCATATTACATAGGAAACACCTATACATGGCACAAGGAAATTCTGTAGGGAGAGTTGCTGCTTAAAACCAGCTGCTTTCCAGGGCTCGGCCACATCTTTGGACATGCTGCAAGAGGCCAACACAGTGTTGTGAGCAAGGCACAAAAGGCTTCTACATGGAGGAGGATGATAAACCCCTGTCTTCTACTCTCCTCCCTCTGCAGAATTTTTAATGAAGCGGGTTTCTGCATAAAACCCAGTCCTGCAGATAAGTGATAAGCTCACTATAGACAAGACGAAAGCATCAGGGATATAGAAACACACAAGTGGAAATCTATGGTTTAGGCATGAAGTAGGCACTTGTCATTGGATTTAAATCCCTTAAGTTCATGACTGAGAAAAACAGAGACATTAACAGGTCTAGACAGAAATTTCTGTAACGACGCCCTTCAACTCAGGACTTTAAAACATGGTTTGGGAAAAATCAAAACAAGGAGTCAGTGGAGGTAGTTAAGGCAAAGTCATGGAGACGAGTTCAACAACATATGGCTTCTTTTTTATCTTTTTTTAAACTTCATTTAAAAAGCTATTATTATTTCTATTCTATTTCAGTATGTACAACTTATCCTAATTTTATCCTAAGTGCACTAATGCAGAGTGCATTAGTGATGCATTCGTGACACAGGAAGTGAAGGAGAAGAATCAGGAAGGCAGAAATGGTCGAGGAAACAAACCACTTTGAGAAAGGAGAGGCTATTTTGAGAAACCATCACCATAAATTCAATATCCGTTGTGACCATTCTTACCTGTAAGGTAGTTAGAAGGTTTTGCATCACATAAGTCTTTCCACTAGATGTATGTCCATAGATAAAGATGGATGGCAAACTAAACTGCTGACGCTAAGAGAAAAAAAAAAGTTGTTGCTGTTTCATTTGTTTCTTATTCGACAGATAAAAGATTTCTCAATGAACTTCCCCTCTGAAAGAAAAGTTATCTTTTAAATTGAGGCATTAAACATGAAACATGCCAATTATAATGGAATTGACAAGATCAATATGTTTCATTTTTGCTGAAATGCTGGGAAGGAAAGTTGCAAGAATCAAATATCACATAACTGCCCGTGAAACTGCTATAGCAAACAATAAAAGCACATACACAGAAAAACAGTGGGCTCTTAATTCAAATTAGCTAAGTAACCAAAACAAAATCTTGGCAAGCACAAGTTGAAAGTCGTACATTGCCCTAGCTTCTGCAAACACTACAAATTGCCTTTCCTTTCATTAGCAACAAACAGAAAAGAATTAAATGGCATGAAGGAGGAGATTGTAATCTTGCTCTTTGGTCACAAAGCAATATTTTATGTATCTATTCATTTAATGGTCCTGATGCTGATTATTTCAGGTAATTTTTTTAAGATGCAGGGAAAATAACTGAATTGTTCCTTTTTTCCCATTCTGAATAAGTATTTATTTTTTTAATTTCAAAGAATTTCATATATTGACAAAAATAAAATCGACACCTTTTATGAAAAACAGTGGTATTCAATTTATCCAACATGACACACCCTTATGCAAGACATGCAGGTTAGAGTATCTGTACATTTATCAAGAATTTAAGTATTTTTAAGAAGAGTTGTTGCCTCTATGCTTGTAGCATACACATAAAACTTGAACGCTGTAATTTGATGTTATTATTATTATCCCTAATTAAAGACAGAACCTAACCACATACTAATTTCCATTCTATTAACTGAATGCAAGCAGATATATCAACTGCTTATAAGTTTGCAGATAAAAATCCCCATTACTTTTTACCACAGCTTTATGAAGCAGTACCTGAATCAACAAGCCAATGATTTCTGACTCTTACGAACAACTACAAAACTACTAAGAATCAGACCAATTTAATGTACTTAGAATTCAGGCACTCAGATATTAGATTAAAACGTAAAAACCAAGCAGAATGCTACACTGACATTGAAAAAAAATTACCCCAGAGCTTTCAGTCCAGGAAGAAGACTTACTCTCTAGTACCAAACGGCAAAGACAGAACAGTCATGGCAAAATCAGGTTTCAGAGAGAGCAAGGCACAAATAGCTTTAAGTTTGTTTAAGTCCTTCCAGCTGCTAGACAGCTTTCAACGTTCCAACGTACTAGAACCTACTGCTAAACACTAATGTTAAAAGACGGATAATAAAAAATTAACCTCAATGAAGAGGCAATCAAAACSTGTTCAAAATGGCATCACAAAAATACCCTCATATTTCTATTCTCTCCTCTCAGACAGCAGAATGTCTTTGTTCTATTCAAACATAGAATTCAAAAAGCACTACCTCTCCAAATATTGACAGCAACATGGACACCTGGGATTCACGACATGGCACCAAGCTTTCCAAATGAAGCAGGTCAGCTGCTGGGTATGCTGGATGTTCAAGATTAGGCATCTTGAAATTCCTGTAGTTAGTCACCTATAGATGCATGTCCCTTTTGTGGTGCAGACAAGAAACAAAGTGATCTGGAAAATAAAAAGTTTTCATTATCATTTGCTTTCATATGCATAAAAGGAAAACTAACAGGAATCAACACAAAATCTAAGCATACCTTCTAACTCAAGATGATGGTGCCATCATGATTAACTTAAAAGACTTTGGCAACATTGGACTTAACTACGTAAGGCATTATACAGACATTTTCACACCAGAGAGAATCCAAACAAGCAAATTAAAATTAAAAGGCATAAGGGATATGAGAAAATCAATACAAGAATGAATTCCCCTAGTTTAGTTAACTGAGGAATTATATATTTAGTTCTGTATGGTTTTATATGTATTTAAAAGTAGCAAAGGAATAAGATTAGTCACAGATCATCACCTCCCTGAGCAGTCAATAAACTAGGATTTACAAGCAACAGGAAAGAAAAGGTTGACAAAATAATAGCTCTTGGTTGGTAACAGGAACGCTTACCCCAGCTTAAGAGCAGCAGAGGCATATGAAGAAAATCCAGTTGATGGTAAAGATTGGAAATACTCCTTAAAAATAGTAGGAGTCCAAACCAGTCACATAAAACTGAATACATATGAATTCCAGTCTACCTTTCACACAAGGACTAGACAAGGAAAAACAAAGGTCTTGATTGCTGTAACACTGGGAAGACTGAATTTTAGCAACTAATATTAAAAAAACACCTCAGTCAAAGATACTAGTCTGCACTTCTAAAACTGCTAGAAAGATGGTACTTTTACCTCTTATGATACAGACAACACACAGAGAGAGAACTGAAATAACTTCAACTGCTAGATTCTGACTTTGTCCAACATTATATAACTTGACAATCAAAAAGAAAGTCTGGAAATTTCATTACGGCAATAAAGATATCTCATCAACTGACAGGATTATCTGTATGTTATCAAGACAAAGACAATAAACAAAACACTCCAAACTACTTTAAATGTAAATATTTACAAACCATTATGTTATGCTGGGTATAAGTACAGGGAAAAAGATTAGGTTAGCAGAAGGAAATCAGAAATAGCAAGGTAAAGGGAAAACAAACCGTTGCAAAGGAAAAATTGCAATAGATGGATTCCACCAACAGGAGAGCTACCGGGGTACAAGGAGGTTCATAAATACAAATGTGTTTACAGAAATACTTTAAAATAGAAATCTTCGTTAATTATTTCCATAAATAGATTTCAAAAAATATTTTTCTTCTATTTTTACACTTTGCCTTCTGTGCTTTCTGAAGTAAAAGTTTGGCCTGTAGAACCATCAAGAGAAAAATAAGTGGAATTACCTAGGGAAAAAAAGGATATCACTAATTATATAAATAATTCAGTACTTGTATTACAACTATTTTTTAGTAATCACATCAGACATAACAAGGACTACAGTTAAATATTAAGAAACTAAGTCTGAAGTAACTTGAAATATAAATTTATCTAAAAGTCAAYCACATATTAAGTATGGGAAATCAAAATATTGCCACTATCAGGGGCAAAAAAACCCCATAATCTTATGTACCAAGTGAATTATTTCCTATACAGAGTATCATACAAATAGCCTTGGCCCATTTTATCAGCTCTGAACGAGTCTGTGCATCTCTCCACCGTATCTATTTAGATATCTATTCAAAATAGAATGAAGACACAGAAACCCAAATAGCTTGATTAAGGTTGCTCTCTAAAAAACTAGCTAGGCATACCAAGGATGTAAAGAAAAAAAACATTACGACAGGAGCCTATAAAATCAAGGACAAACAAGTGGGGGAAAAGTTCTAGAGAAGTCTGAAAAAACTGTGCAAACTTAAAAAAAAAAAGGACAGCACTTTTTCTCCAGTGGCTACATGAGAATGGAGCTTGACTATGTCCTAAATACATCTAAATCCATAAAGAAATTCAGCTTTTCAACGCCACTCCCAGCCAAACTGCCCTCCGGGAAGCACMAATCGCCTGCTGATCACACTGTACCTGCCAGCCCTGTTTGCTTCTCAAACAYCCCTGCAAAAGGCAACTTACACCAAACACATTTCAGCCACTGGATGCAAACCTACATCTCTCCTGATTATATGGAGGTGTCTTAATCTCCAACGGGACCCCATTCACGCGCTCACAAAAGAAAGGACGCTTAGAACAACGTGTTCACAAAACAGTCAATTTCGATTAAATGGCAATAACACAAGGACTAGTATCAGCCAAAGCTTGAATTCAGGATGCTCTATCCCGGGGAAGGTTGTACGGAGGTTTTAAGTATGACTCCAGCCAGGCCATGAAGGTGCAAAAAAGGAAACCAACTAAGGCTGTTTAGAGCACAAGCTCAACTTTATGGCGAGACTTCATGATTTACTAGGACTTAACTCACTCATCCTAAAATACCTACACTTRGCAGCCTTTCCACACTCTAGCATAAAAGATGGCATAAAATATGACAGAATTTAACATGTTGCGTCCTCTCAGGCCCTACAAGCCCCCTCGCCRGCACAGGCGTACCTTGGCTGAGGGGGAATGACGACCCCCGGCCTCCACAGAGCGCGGCTGAACGGCTCCTTCCTCACACGCGTGTGTGAGGCTGAGGGTGCTCCCGGCCCAGCGGGCGGCTCAGCCCGCGGCGGGTTTCGCTCCCGCACCGATTCCCAGCGCGAAGGCGGAGCAGAGGCAACTTTGCCGGTTCTCTCCTCACTGCCCTCCTTCCCGCCCGCCGCGGCTCCGCTCACCGGCTCCTCATCCGCTCCCGCCACCGCCGCACCCGCGCCGCCGCGCCACCTTCCGGGCCCGCGCGCATGCGCAGTGACCACGGCGGGTCCGCCTGAGGCGGGGCGGGGCGGGGCGGGGCGGCCGTGAGGGGAATCCGGGAATGCCGCGCTCGTTTAACGGGGATGTCCCACAGGATATCCTGCGTTATCCAACAGGGCTGTCCCACAGGGACAGCTGTGAGGAAAGCCTGCCGCTCAGGGGGCTCCAGGGATGAGGCATTTATCCCTCAAGGGAGAGGTGTGACGGAGGAAAGCCTGCCGCTCAGGGAGCCCCAGGGCTGAGGCATTTATCCCTCAAGGGAGAGGTGTGAGGGTGATACAAAATGTGGAACATGTAAACTTTTCTTGAGAATGTTCTTTCATCTTTGTATACTTTGAAATCTAATCAACAAGTAAGGGAGAATTAGTACGTGAAACAGAGAAAGGCTGGGAAGCTCTAAGTGGTTTTTAGACAACTGTTTTTTAGACAAATTACTTGGTAGAATTGCCGTATTAAGGTGTAGGGCTGGACGTGTTTCAGTTATTTCAGACCTCGGGGTAGCTTAACAAGGCTTCGGAAGAATGACGTACCATTGCTAGTGGACACAAAGGACTGCAAGGACATTTGGCAGAACTCCCGAGATMAGGAAAAAAAGTAAAAATGCCAACTCGGCAACTGTGCAGAATCAGCTCTGACTGGGTAAGAGGTAATTCCAGCAGGGGCAGATCGTGAGCACGAACCCCCAGACTCAAGAGAAATAGTGAGCATGCGGACTAATTAGTATGAGAAGCGAGAGAATCAGCTCACAGAAGAGRGAATACTAATTAATAAGAGAACTCTGTAACTCGTAGCAARTGAACACTAACTYGTTTGTTTGCTAAAATGYATAAATAGTAAAAAGTTTTGATAGTTGGGGTGCTTGATTCTGGAATACCAGCAAGTGTCCAGGCCTGTGCAATTCAGAAATAAATAATCAATGTCTCTCTTGAGTGTATAATCATTGGCTTGTTGCATGCCAGGTAACAAATCTGATTTTTGTGGACCAATGGAGCCTAACTTACACATACAAAGTGCACAATAACTCAAAACATGTTATATACAACACCACTTAGAGCCAGGTTTGTGAAGCCTTTGCTCCAGTCAAGCTCTGAAAATGCATTACTATAGTCTCAAATTACAGCTGAAGTTAYATTATGCATAAACAATGTACACTGTATTAGGGGGATAACTGTGACAGCTGCGTGCTGGGTTATGAAAGTTAAAGTGATAAATTGTTTCCGTGAAATGATGGGTGAAATATCACATAAGTAAATAAGACTTGTGTGAATCAAGCATGGCTTATTTTTAGTAGTCAGGTTTTTTTTTGTAAGTATACATGTTCAATCATCATAGCTTGGCCTGGACAGCATTTTAAATCTTTAAATGTATGGTGTATATCAGTGGACAAAGCCAGCCTGAATGGAATTAGAGAAATAGAARCAAGAAACGTACAACTGATTTATTGTTTTCTATACAAATTTGTGTACAGTTATGTTTTTTTTTTTAATGTCCTCCTATTTATCACTGTTTTGACAAAGCATAACAATGCAGAGAAATTATTTTTACTGCTACTGAATTTGCATGTATGTGGACAAAAGYTGTCGCATTACTAATTCAGTCCATTTCTTGACTTGTGAAAAAATTTAAATTTAGAGCAGTAAGTATGTTTCAAAGTGTCATGTCAAGGCATAGGCTTCCCAACAGAGTGAAATASTTCCTTTTCTAGCTTTTGAAACCATGGAATCTGTTGGGGCAGATTGCTCTGCATACAGATGGACCATGTTTCAGAAAAGAAACCCAAATATAATAACTGAAAGAAATCTCAGTAAGTCCACCTTTGTATATCATGTGTGGGAGATGAAATGAAATACTTTGGAAGCAGYTCTTAGTGACATTTAGAATTTGCATCTTCTATGGATTACTACTGAGCAAATCTGAAATTTGATTTGCAGTTGAGCAAGAATTCTGAAATGAGTGGTGAGTTTTTARAACATGTAATTTTCAATTCAGTGGTTCTGTTGGAGAATCAGTCGTTCAGGCTGCAGTCCTTCCCAAGGTCACTTCGAGACAACATAATGCGTATTACCTCACAGAGGAGAGTCTCACTCTCCCTATTGTGTTCCCACTCCCACTCATTTTCTGGTCCTAGGATTTGGGTGGTTTGTAAAGAGATTGTTGAGGGAACCAGTCCAGCTGAAATCAAACCAAAAAATACTTCAGTAATTGCAGCCTTGCTCCCAAAGGGCTGCTTATTAACTGAGTGGGACCTCCACTCCTATCTTGTTTAGCTTCTAATCTGCAGTTCAAACAAAATACCCAGTAACCATTATGTTTATTTATCCAAAGTAACACCATTATTATCATGAGGTAAACAAAAAATCTGTGTAGCTTTAATAATKTAAAGTTATTAAGAATATTGTTATTGATTGAAATGGTATGACTATAATGCTATGTTTTTCAGGACTGATCTGAAGTAACTACCATAGAATCCTGGACTCCTAAATCTRCAAATGAAAAACTATCACAGAGGATTGCTGAATAGCTTGGCCAGTTACTTGGGCCTATCAATGTCCATATATTCCTAAAGAAAGTCTCTACTTCCCAGTAAAAGTGCTTAAATTTAGTAAGTGTGACTTTTATTTTCATTCAAGAGACCAAAACTGTTTAGTAGCAGTTGCTAGAGAGAGAATTTATGCCTAAGTATAGCTGTTTATGTGTAACATAATAAATTTCAGTTTAGATCTTTCATCAACCACCATTTTCACTGATGTCACTCATGCATTTCTGAAGAGCTTTGAACTATTTCTTAATTTATACTAACCTGTCACGTCTTTTTATCTTATTCTGATTATGAGTTGCTTAGATACCAAATATATTCAAAATGAAAAAGCAAACAGTAAACTGAGGCTTGAAGCTTGCATGTAACAGAGCAGGAGACAGTCCTTTTTCACTGTGTTTATAGTCTGATATTTTATATTAACACTTTTTTTTCTTTGTGAAACTTATTTTCAGTACAGGTAGTGATTAATTTTCATTCAAGGTTTTGTATCCATAGTTGCAGTCAGCAGCAAACTTTTAAATATAGAATATACACTTATTTGGTTCAAATCACTGGGATTCCTCATTTCTTAAACTTATGTAGTTAAGTGAATTACAGGATTATGGTCTTTATATGTCTTTCTACATATCAAAATAGAACCATATACAGAACACATACATATTTATCTATGTTCTGTATATATGTAGAGCTATCTAGAGGGAATTATATACATAGAATATATGCAGTAATTTTTTTTRTTTCTCTCTCTCTTTCCAAAATACATTTTACCAGARATGCTATTGTGTAGAATTCTATTGAGACTGCATCCAGATTATTTTATAGCAGTCACTTCCTGTTCCAAAAAGCCAATAGCATCTGACAAAGGTGCAGAAAAGGGCTTTGACAAAGAGCAGGAAGAAATTATTACTTTGGAAAGATGTTCACTTGAAAACACCTTTGAGGTGGTTTAAAAATGATTGCCACCCCTTCTCTGCCTTGTTGGATTATACAGCCCTTTCAACAGATCAAGTGGAAAGGATAGTGTCATTATCTACCTCTACACAAGTCATTCACYTAACTTAAATTCCCAGGTAAAGATTATTTAAAATATATATTGGGAGATTTTTCTTCTAAATGGATGAAAAGATCTCAAGTGGCTTGTCTCCTCCTTGTCCTGATAATGAAAAAAAGAAAGTTCAGGGGTAGTTAGGCTTTGTAAAAGCAGATTTGGGTGAAAGGACTCTGAGTTACCTCAGGAGAAATAGTCCCTGGAGACAGTTCTGTGTGCTGTGGATGTCAGGAGTGCAGTATACTCCCTTTACATCTTTTGCTGTCTCTCAGTCAGCCCCTGTGTCAGTGCCAAGGGGTAATGCCAGTGGTGACCTGGCACTGCTCACAGCCAGCAGGGGTTCTCTTCCACTACACTTGTCAGCAGAATCAGAAACTGAGGATTTGATCCATAATTTCTCATTAAGTTTGCTAAAGATAGACAATGATGGATGTTTAACAGTCTAATCGTTAGTGATTATAATCACCAACAGTGGATTTTGAAGGRATTAGTAGTAATTAAGCTCTCATTTATAACTCATTAATATGAAAAACAGTAATTCTGTGGATTAAATACTTCCGTAGTATCTAATGCAGAGGATTTTGCAGACAGAAATATATGATGAACGATCTAGAGTTTGAGATCTCCAAATGAGATTTGACAAAAATATCACCACAGGCAATTACTGTGAAAATTCAGCTGGTTGCTCAGACAAATCTGTTGCACAGTATCATAACAGTTTACTTAGAATTTAGGCCTCAAGGGAAGCAATCTATTAACGGTAAAGGAGAGAACATAAATACCTTTCTTCAAGCTGCCAATAAACAAAGTCAATTTATACTGGAGATATCTTAATTTTTAGTTACATTTCCATTAATTCTGGGCATGTTTGTTTTCCAAATTATTTTTTCTGGGAAAATGATGTTTTACCACCAATATCCTCAGTTAAATGAGTGTATTAACTAGTATGCTTATACTAAGAAGGTACATAAAAGATTGCTGGAATGTGTGTTCTCCTCACTGAGAAAGTTTACCAGGAGTACCATTTTTGAATACAAAACCACTGAATTTTGAGAAGTTATTTTATATTCTATGTGAATCAGAACACCAAAGAAGGTAAATGTCAGTAYGGGTATGTAACCAAAACTTCTAATTTGTCATTATATATTCAGATTATGAAAGTCATGCCAAAGTGATGACATTTCTAGCTTAGGTTARTTCTACCTGGAAATTCTTGGTTTGCTTGCCTAAATGCCTGAACATAGACTGAAATAATTAGGCATGTGAGTTTGGACTTAATGAATTTGCATAACTGGCATTTGTATGTAGATCCCAGTGTGAAATGAAATAAAACTGAAGTTGTTTTCATCTATATTAA